TGGCCTGAACGACAAGAAAAGGCAAAAATGGCTTGGCACGGAACGTGTTAAATACGATATAATAAATAATAACGATAACATCTAACCTCGAACATTCGAGTTTCTTTCGACAATGATGATGTTGATTAAACTGAACTTAAGCTTTTCGAACAATGAACAAGAAAAAAGCAAAACGAAATGGCGAAAATTAAGGAGGGCTGAATCTTTGCCAATCGGAACAAGTAACAATAATGACTCATAAACGGAAGAAAAAGAAGAGTGATAGAAACAACAGGTCGTACTTGTCCTTGAGGTACAGATGCAGACCCAGGGCAAGAAGTTTCATAAATGATTCGAGGATGAAGACGGCGGTGAAGAAGTAGTTGAATATCTTTAGGGCGTAGGTGAGAGCCTTTGGCATCATGTAAAATTCCATTGCCATGGTGACAACGTTCAGGCCGATTACCGCGGCGATCGCTAGGTCGAAGTACTTGGACGTCACAACGTTGTGAACGAACAGCCTGGATTTCGAGTAGTTGGTGTAGTAGGGCGGCTCGTGCATTTCTGCAATGTCAGAGCGAGGAAACATTGTTTGGAAATCCAGCTGAATGGAAGAGAGCTGAATTTTGTAATGGATTTCATCTTACTTCGCCGTTTCTTCTCCATTTGCAAGGCTCGTTTGGCAGCGCGTCTCACGCGTTCCTCCTTCTCCTGTTCCTCGCGACACCTGTGAAAATTCTCCACCACGACGCCCACGAACATGTTCAGCACGAAGAAGCCCACCAGCAGGATGAAAGCTATGAAATAGAGCAGCCGCCACTCCGAGTAATTCTCGATCGGCTGAAAGGCAGACATTCGTGTGTGTAGAGAAAGACTCTGATCGTACAGAGGATCTCGAATTATTTCATATTTTCTGTATAACTACTGAATTCTTTCACACTCTCGCAAGTGTCTGACAAAACTGATAATTCTGCAAGAGTTTTCTTGCAAAATTTTTAATAGAAACAGTTTGCTCGCAAGTTTCGCTCATCGAAACGTGACGTTGCGAGGTGGAAATAACATAATAATATGGGAATAAAATTGGCGCACTCGAGCGTGTTACCTGTTGATCGACGCCTACAGCGTCGAGCCCCGTGTACATGATGTTCACCCATCCGTCTCTCGACGACAATACGAACAGCGACATCAACGCTTTGCCAAGATCGTCGAAATTGTATTTCCTGTTCAGCCAGACGTTCCGTTTGTCCGCCAGGCAGTCCGTCTTATTGCGTACGTTTTTAATATCAGGCCCCTCGCAATAATAAAAGGCACCCTTGAAGAGCTGCACGCCCAAGATACCGAAGATTACGAAAAAAGTACAGCATATCAAAACGATGTTGCCGATAGGTCGTAAAGAGGATAACAATGTCTGAACAACCAGCTTCAAACCAGGAGCTCGATTAATAACTCGCAACGGTCTTAGCGACCTTAAAAGTCTAAAAACCTGCAAACCACGTGAATCAGGTGTTGGTGGTGTTTTGATAAGAATTATCACGCGAGATAATGTATGGATCAACCCCTTGCCTCGTTGTTATCTATCCTCTAATTTCCAAATCGAGGAGAATTTAAAACTCGTCGAGCTCGACGACTTGCCACTTTCCCTCCTTTTCTTTTTTCTTTTCGTCGATCGAGAGTAACTCGTGACTCGAGAGGTTCAAGGCAAGAGGTTCAACCATTGCATTGTTATGAAATATATATATACGTAATTGTATTTGAAAATATACGGCACGCTGTGCGTGTTATCTGTGCTTAAATATATTCGCACGCAAGCTCAATTTCATTTATCTCCAAATCAATGTTAATTTCATTTACCCGAAAAATTATTACTGAAGTGAATAAACGCTTCGAGATTTCAGATGAATTGTTTCGTTGAGACATTCGAAATGTGCTTTGGACATTGAAATAATTCGTCAAATGTACTTTCAATGAGCATGCAATTGAATTGATTCTGCATTAATATAACAATTTAGAAGTAAACTCTTTTCAACACTTCGCTCGAGAGAAGTATACATATAGAGGAAAGTATAGAGGAAAAATTTTAATCTACGATTTATTTATAATCAGTCTATTGCACAATAATTTATATATATATGCTAGCGTTATTAGATACCGATTTATTTACATGTTTAATTATCGATTGTTGTAACACCTTGGCGTCATTGTGAATTTTAATAAATATAGGAGGAAGCATGACGTAGTTCAGGACAAATTTCTTCGTTCAAAAGCAATGAAATAAAAAAATATGAAACGTGAAGGATTTCTTTTAAATTGAACGATCAAAGGATCGAGAGTAGAACAGAGAGTTGAATTCAATTTTGCACATGTGCGATGCAAATGTAAATCGACAAGTGAATAGTGTGTTTGAAAAATGATTGTTCCGATAGTATATTGTCTGTCGAGTAGAGTAATATTTCCTTCGCACTTTCTATCTTCGTTTCCAAACAGATAACTCATCTGTCGTGAATCTGTGAAACATTATTCATTTATGTTTCGATATCAGTGAATTAATTTAATGCCACTTTCAAGATAAAAGTCAACATCACTCTATACTTTCTTGATCATACTTCTCTCGCACTGTGGAAAACTCGATCACACATTAAAATCGCATTAAGGGGAAAGGGGAGGAAAAGAAACGTACCCTCAGTATTCCAAATATTCTTGGACTACTCGACGACAATAGGGACATTGATAAGTCGATTATGGAAATGATCACAAGGACTCCGTCCATGACGTTCCAGCCTGAAGTAAAATAAGCGTCGGAGCCGTACAGCATACCAGATGCAACAACCTGCGATAAATGATCAATTGGATTCTCATGGAATTTTTTTTTTTTTTTTTTTTTTTTTTTTCACTTTTCCTTTCCTCGTTGTTACCTTGATGAACATCTCGACGGCAAACACCGCGGTAAAAATGTAATTCGCAGTGGATAAAAAAAGTCTTTCCCCACTGTCTGGTGGTATATTTGGCCGTTCCATTGCCAGTGTAATACAATTGAGTCCGATGAAAAAGAGGACCACGTTATCGAACCATTTCTGATCGACCAACCATCGACATAAAACGCGAAATCTAAAACGTAAATACGTTCCGCTGTACAATTCGGTGAAAGCAATTCTTCGTAAAATTGAATAACGTTCGATCGTTGGACGTTGGAGGATTTTTTTCTCTTTCTTTTTTTTTTTTTTTTTTTCGGCTAGCATTGGATTTTCATGGAGAAAGAATTATGGGAATTATATTATTGGAAAGCATATTAACCCTCCGGACGGCGGATGCTTCGGTGAGCTGGATCTCACAATTTCGCTCAAAGGCAGAATTGTTATTAGTAATTTGAAGAATACATATAACGTGATGTTAAGGTACAGAGGAATATGAAACAAAGGCAGCTGATGTTAATAATCTAAAGGTTACGTACAAACTGCAATTTGAGGCAGGATAAACTACAAAATGAAAAATAAAAATAACTACATACTGTAACTAATAAAATAATATTATACAATACATTGTATAATACATTATACAAATAATATTAATAAAATAATATTATTATATAATTGTATAATATTATTTGTATAATGTACTGTACAATGTATTGTATAATATTATTTTATAATATTATTTGTATAACATGTATTGTATAATAATATAATATGTATTGTATATTATTTTACAATACTATTTGTATAATATTAATAAAATAATATTATTTGTATAATGTATTGTACAATGTATTGTATAATATTATTTTATAATATTATTTGTATAATATGTATGTGTAATATTATTTGTATAATATTAATGAAATAATATTATCATATAATTGTATAATATTAATAAAATAATATTACATATTTTATTAATAATATCATACAATTATATAATAATATTATTATTAAAATAATATTATATATTTTGATAATATTATACAAATAAAGTATTATTATAAAATAATATATAGTACAATACATAGTACAATACATTATA